AACTACACAATTCTAAACCAATTACATTCTAAAAGCGCTATGTAAAAAATTGTGACTGCATAATAACGCTGTGCAATCATATACTGGTACTGAACAAATGACATTTTTTTAAATTCTACACCACAAAAATTTTGAAAGTACTAATGGACCTTGAGGTAGCAACAGTACAGGAGTCCATGCCTTGGCAGCAGCAGGAGGGCGATGTTAGTATCATTAAATTACCTTTACAAAGATTTTTGTCTTCACTAAAAATATGTTGAAGTTGTTTTGAACAAATCCTAAATTATCAAGGATAATGGAAAATTCATGAGATTTTAGTGATTTGAATATTGGCTATCATGTCAAGTATTTGAAATTCTGATATTTCAAAAGTGTCATTTAAAATTACTGGAAATAATTAAACTGCAGTTCAAAATTATTATTTACTCATCACAATGCACTATTGTAGTTTTTATTATTTCTTAATTAATTAATATGAAAACAGCAAAATTGTTTGTAATAACACATGCTGGTGAAAGGAACAAAATAATAAACAACAAAATAACTTGCAGAAAAAAATAAAGAACACTGTAAGCCACTGGACCGTATTTAAGACTTGTTTAATTCCATCCTTTTCTAGGTTTGTTTGAATTTCAATGAATTAGGCAATATAAGAGAAGTATCACATTGAATTCTGTCAATTAATTATTTGTTTCAGAATTTAACACAAATGCTCACAAATCTGTCTCAAGTTCTTTCAAGACGAACAATTAAACATTTACATTGCAATTCAGGATATCATTAGACACATTTTATGTTTGACTTTTCAGAGAAAGCTTTTCAAGCACTTACGTCACAAAGGTACATAGGAAATAATAAGTACAATCCACAAAATTAAAAATTTTGTTTTAAAATTATATGCTTCTATTCCTATTGGATATAAATAGCCAAGAAAAGAAACTTAATTTATTTTCCTACAGTATATACAAAAAAGTATTCTTTTTATGAAAACATCACGTTTTCAAGGAAGCTAAGTTGGCATACAATTGCACTTATCAGCTTGAAAATAAACATTCAAACTGAGGTAGTGTGTAATCACATTAACAATTTATGCAATCCAAACATTTTTTCTTAAGAGACAAGATACACATGATTCCCCAATTTTTAACTCATATTTCAACATTTGTTTTCTACTATAAGCAATGGTTTTAAAAGGAAAGTAGGAGTCTCAATCAGAGTTATCCTCAATTCATTAGGATACATTATCAAATAAGTGATGAGGTAGGTACATAAGTACATAGGCAGGTACTCAGTGTAATTGTATGTCTTAATACCATGGTAAACTGTTTTCACAAAAAGGGCTTATCAGTAAAATTTCCATTAAATATCATGAAACTTATTGGAGTCTTCATTAATTCATAAGAAATAACCTAGTCCTATTATAGGATGGCCCTACTCTACATCACAAATCATTTCAGAATACACAATACAGAGATTCACAGATTCACTTTCTTTCCTTGTCATGGATCTTCCTTCAATTTTGGTCAGAAATATGTTAAAAGTAAGTATTTATGGATGGAAAAGAAGCATATCTATAGTTAACAATTAACAGCTCCTTTCATGCTGTTTTTTCTTCAATCATTTACAAAATTGCTCCTGGAAAATGTATTCACAAAAACCTTATGTGAAGAATGCAAATGATGAGACACTTATACACAATCAGAAGCTCATAAATAAAGATTTACCCCACATACATCTATAATGGACTGAAACAAGAAATTAAGACCAGTACCTATCCACCATAAGATCATCACTCCTCTAAAAAGAAAATAAATTATTATTCCAATATGTACAAGATGAAATTAAAATTTCAATGTATCTAATGATATTGCCACAAGAACAGCAATTTATATCATAAGACTAAATGCCGAAAACAAAAAGGGAATTAAAAATGACTTTTGTTCATAGTTATTCAAGAAGAAATTAAAACTTAACAGGCAGGCATTGCAAAAACAACAAATTTTGAAAATGAAGTAGTAAGAATAAAAATCATAAAGAATTCCAAAATCACAGAAAACAGACACAGTTTCATGGTGCTTCCAGCTTTCAAGCTTCTAATTGGACCAAAGGTTTATTTTTAGTAAAGAGAGAAAAGTATTTCAAAGTCAGAAAGAAATTATCTGAAAGGCTTTGCTATCACACACAGTCATAAAGTAATATTATGTTATCATAATATGAATCAATTTTGGATATCAAAAACATCTACTGAAATTACAGTTTTAGACAGACATGGAAGACTCCTCTTGAAGACCAACAGTTACATTGGTGGGGGGTGTGGGGGAGGTGCATATATTATCTAAAAATATAAAATTTCTTCATTAGTAACCCATTTCTGTGTTTGTCCTATTAATAACATAAAACCATCAAAGGGCCCACATACAAAATGTCTTAATTAGTAACCCATTTCAGTGCATGTCCTATTAATAACAATTAAAAAAGGTGAACGAGTCATAGGTCACTAATCTTAATTTTTTGACAAGAATATATATACCAAAGGCTCTTCAAGGAACCCTCTGCTCATTCAGTAAAAGAGGTTTCAATGCTCTCTTCAGGTAGTGGGAAAATACCAAACTCAATTTCTTTGTTCTCTCAGGAACGACATGGCAACCAAATAGTAAATGATGAGGTGTATTTGAAAACTCTGTTAGTATTCTTTATGACTCTCTCACTGACCCTTTCAAATGTAAATTTAGAGAAGTCTATCTTGTATCTCTTCCCATTAACCAAATAAAAAAATAATTTGAAATTTCATAAAGCATTTTCTCCCACAGTAAGGTGCGTTTGTTTTTTCCCCTCTACAAAACATAGGAGTTTGTTGAATTTTTATTTTCAATGTAATGACGAAGAGTAATGACTCCAAATTCTACTTCAACGTAAAACTAGCAAGTTTATTATTTTAATTTTTTAAAGGAGTTTCTTGCATTGCCTATGTACATATTATATTGGTAAATTTAATAGGCCAAAAAAGGTCTAATGATTAAATTTCAGGAATGAAATAATATTGGCAACAAATAAAGTGGGAAAGTATGAGACAAACTTTTACATTTACCATTAAAAAAAAGATACTATGATACAGTTGGAACAACATTATGGGAAAGGAAAACTAATTAAGCAGCTCTCCCATGTTGCTGAAAAGAAAATAATTTCCTGTATTGTGGTATTTCTTCCAGTATTATCATCAGTATACAGCACAATCCCTAGTAAGAATTATAGTGGTTTATGGTGTCAAATAAGATAATTTGTTATACTTTGAAGTCAAATTATGTTTTTGTACTGTGTCTCCAGTTAGCCCTAAGATTCTTTTGTTTCATCCTTTACAAATCACACAAAATTAATATATTAAGAATGTTTCTAAAATTACTTTTTTAACTTGACCAAAGTGCATTCAGATTCAATTTTGTATGTATTGTAATCTTGATTGTATTGTTGTATGAATTAAAAAGTTAATTTACATTAAATACTTTTGGGATAAACACAAAGAATTACGATGCCTTCCTTAGAACGAATTGTAATTACAAAGCTTAAACATTTGTAATATTCCAAGGGTTTTGTGAAATGTGAAGGGATGCATCTATTTCCTGTTTCTTACAAACCACACAGTGGACTGTTAATTTTCTATATCTCAGTATGTTTTAATCTGGTCATTTTTACTTATGCATAGGTTAACAACTCATTGACCAAAGTGAGACTTGTCATATATAATATTTCTGAAGGATATCTTCGCCATTGATTCTTTTTATGCTAAGTGCCACAATACCAGATCAATGTTTCCAAACAGAAAAATGAAAAGACTGTGTTGGGAGGGCAGAGGTAAAAACAATAGAGAGGAAGAAGGAACCAACTAAGACTTTATGCATGAGAATTTACTCCCTTCCAGAGTGTGTGCCCGAAGTGTCCAGATTGTGTATGTCAGAAATAACTACCTAGATGAGCCTGTGTCCTTATTTGTCACATTTCTTTGACAGTGAATTTCAAACTTTCAAATACAATAGTACAAAACCTAACAAAGTTCAATAATTCATATGTAAATTGAATTTTACTAATGAGAAAATCTTATCCAGTCAGAAAAATCACCAACAACCTTCAATAATATCTGTAGTGATAGAATCAATAATGAATTATATCACTACAGAATTTAAAAGAAGTGAAATGTGCATCACCAGGTTAATAAGGTAAATTCAGTTTATTAGACACTAACATTTAACTATAACCGTTTTTAAATGAGTGCTTCACTAGATCCATCATAAATCACTGAATATTACTTTTTTAAGAAATTTGTTACTCTTTATAACTAGTAATTGTATGAGATCGTTGTTAATACATCTAAAATGCATTAAGAGAATAATTGTTTTGATACTAAATAAAATTACACTCCCATGGGAAATATTAGAACAAATTAAAATGACATAAAGAAACCGAGATTATTGACAACGACAAACTAAATTTACATTTTGGCGAGTATTTCTGGAAGACCAAAACTATATATGCATGTGATATGTGCATGTGATTACCAATGAACCTCTTAGAAAATACTATTAATTACACTGCACTTTGTATTGTTAGTAGACAAGACACATTAAACACAAAAATAAATACTTAATTTTAAAATGGGCCTGCTTAAGAAAAGGCTACCCGGAAGTGTGAAAACTTTTACCTCTCCACATTAGCCTGAAATTTGATGCCAACACTAAATAAATGTGAAAGATAGACAAGGAACAGTATCACGACTGGAGTTGTTAGCATTGATGTTTTAAGAATTCATAGTAATAATAGCATTAATACACACTGCATTTCTACAAATTATTATTTCAAATCATATTTTAGCAAACTGAGTTTGCAGATTTTATGAGGCAAATGTGGACACAGATACTCACAAAACATTTCTATAACTGTCACCAAAACTACTTAAATCAGGGATTCATTATCCCTCAAAAGAAAGAAAAAAAAATGTTTTGCAATCTATAATATAAAGAAATAATATAATTGCAATAACGTTTTCAATTTTTTTTGGTTTGTTTGATTTTATATGATAAAAAGGGAACATTAACTGTATTCTATGTTCAAAGGAAAATTTCAAACCAAATTACAGGACTCTCAAAAATGTTGCTACATCTATAAGGAGGCACAAGGCACATCTATACCAAAATTGGCAACAACAACAAAAAGAGCATAATTCTACCAAAAAAAAAGACAAGTCTTTTGACATGACAAAGAAGAGATCACAGAGAATCTCAGTATTATCAAGCACTATGTCATGCAAAAACAATTTTGCCACAGAGTATGTTTGAATTCTTCACAAATCAGTAAAAAAGAAATGACCAACTGCTCCAGTGTGAAAATATTGAATATTAAATAATGCAATAAAAAAATAGTTATAAATAAGTATGCCAACAGTATGTACTAGACTAGAATGATATTTCAACTGAAGTAGTGTTTATATTGACCAGGGTACAATAGTCAGTTATATTGACACAATTTGTGTATCCATCAAAAAAAGGTTCAACTCAAATCATTGTGAATATTTAATGAGATTGTTTCTCTTTGCATGAATTTATGTTACAAATGTCATGTACTATAATGCTGGAAACATGAAAATAAACCCTTACTTCTCATACATCATTAAAATTGAATTTAAATTAGCCTGGAGAAATCTGATGAGAAATTTCGCTTCTTCACATTCCATTTTGGATCAATTAAGGATGCATTAACACTTTCAACTTGTTTAAAGTTAAAATCAACCTACACTATTGAAATAAATACATTTTACTGAAGAACACACATTACTGTACATCATGAATATACAAATGGAACTAAAGTGATACTTTTCAAAGGTCAAACACAATGCAATTCCTTAAGGATAGATGTGCAAATGTGGGACCTTTTCAAAGCACTGCAAAAAGAAGGGATCAACATATACATCACAAAGCAGTCCTAATAAACCAAATTGAAATTATTACTTGAAAAATTAAACTGGGCAACAAAACCATAACCATATCAAGATCCGATTTAATAATTATGTTTATTAGAACGGAGAAGCTCTATTGCAAAATAAAAAATATAAGATTCAGTGCATTCCACAGAATTGCAAACACTGCAGTTATTACACTAACTTTCATTCAGGAACATGAATTCTTACAAAAATACAATATATCTCCAATTAAGTTTGTTTTTTGGTAATTGTGATTCACACTGAAGGAAAATGCATATTAAGCAGACAATATAACTTACTTTGTTTCCTCAATCTGTAAATTTTCCATAGTTGTTTAAAAATACTTCTACAACATTTTTAACTTCTCTCAAAATAAGATTCAATCAGTTCATTTTTTATTTTGAGCTTTATATAATCTAAAATGATCATTTAATTTTTACAATTAAATAGTTTAGTGTTACATACATCAGAAAAATCAAAAGTTCAATATTTGTAATAAAATACATTCCAAAACTTTGCTATAGCAAGTCATTTTACAGATCCATATACATCTCACAAATAACAAAATATACACTTTCTATTAGTATTTTTACCCAAAATATGCATATTCCCACAAGTAATCAATCTATTTTGTACTCCCTCCACAATTTACTTCTGATATCCCAAATAGTTGTGTTGAAACTTAATTAATTTTCATTCTGGAAAATAATCTACAATCGTGCCCTCAAATATATAAACACCCACGTGTAGACCAGGATTCTCAAAAGCGAGACCAGAATTCACATTATAGGAGTTTCTCACAATTGGTTTCTTAAAACTCAAATACCTTTGATAAAAGGCACAAAATAACATGATATTTGTGAGCAACTCCTGGGCAGTATTGCACAACGAAAGCATAGTTTTAACAACAGTGAATAATGCTCACGGAATTATCAATAAAAGAAATCATACAACTTACAAAGTTATATCTGGGTTCAGTTCAAATAGCCTTCATTTAAGAAAATCTCACAGAAGAAAGGCAAACATACTTCACATACATACACACGCACGCACACACACACGTTACAAGTTCATGATGGCAGTAAGCACTATCGAATTACTGAAATTAAAAGGAATTGTATCAGTGATTTGAATGAACAAATCAAAATAACAAATACATTCTATTACAAGACACACCAGTCACATTAGATTAACTGATACAAATCCAAACTAACAATACTGTTTCAACAAAATACAATATTTAATATAACTGTTCAGAAAAAAAATCTATATTATTTATACTTTCCTCACCAAGTTTATATGATGCACTAATGCACAAAATACTCCCAAATAGATTAGTATTAGAGGGTACAGCATTTTTTCCTTAACAACGAACCATTATATTGCATCATGCATCAAAAATGCACTGGTTAATGTTTATGAAAGAGAGAATCTCTGTCACAGAACTGAAGAAAGTGTCATGTATTATGTTTACATTTTATGAGAGCACCACATAAATTTCAGCACCATATGAGATATACATATACATACAATGAACAAATTAAGGCATAAATTTGTTTATACAAATTATACAAGGCAAACTACTAAAAAGGTAAGCAAAATAAATTTTAATACAAGTTTCAAATTGAGATTCTAAAATATTGCAATGGCAAAATGCCACATTACTCTTCGAAAATTTAAATGTGTACAATCAGATTGAGAATACTGTACAGGCATCACAAAATTCTCATAATGGCATGGATTTCTTAAATTGAGCCTATGTAATATTTTTCATACTCCACTATAATCACCATTTTTAATGGCATATGTAGTGAGCTGACATGTGTCTGCTTTTTTGTATATAAAATCAACTATGTGAAATTATTATACAAAGAAAACTGCTGTAAGGAAATGCCTATCCAAAGGCACATGGTTTGTAGATTTCTTCCTATCATTCACGCTACCTTATATACATATTTCAATCTACCAGCTATTCACCCCAATATTGATATATAAACAAACCTGTACAGACGCTTCCTAGGCTTCCAAACTTCAAGTCGTATCAAACAAATTCACTATTCGTTTGTAAATCTGCCGAATTCACCATCACTGAAAAGTTTATATAACTATCATTCTTTTTCGTCAAAATATCTCAAACACTAAAGAATCTCTTCAGCCAGCATGCTTGGATAAGTTCAGAGGGACATCTGCAAGACCAAAGGCAATTAACATAAATATAAATATAAATATTAATATAATTATTTCTGTGCAAAGATAAGAAGACAATTAATTATCACTTACCTGATGGGCTATCTTCATGTTTCAAGTTATCAACTGTCTGACGTGAAGCTGAGTTCCAAGGGCTAAGTGGAGGTGCATGACATGGACTCACAAGTCCAGGATATAATGCTCCTCGTGGAAGACTAGAAAGTGGGTAATTTACCCAAAGAGAAGAAACAGGAGATGAGGATCCTCTATAAGATGGAACCGGAGGAAGGCTAGAATAGTATGGATGAGGACTTATACTCGGAGTAGCTGGATGATGAGGTAGATACGGGGTGTTTAGCGCAGGATAAAGTAAAGGGGCTCCCAAGAAAGGGTTGAGATGTGGAGACGAGCTGCCAATGGACGGAATAACTGGTGTCCTTAACCCACAGCTATGTGAATCTGGAGACGGAGACAAGGTAGGAGAGGAGGCAGGAATTTGTTGTCCTTGAGGAGGTGAAGCCTTCCTACTACCGTCTACCTTTCCTTTGCCAGAACCAGGTCGTAACCTTGGGCTAAGTTCTGGAGATGTAGCCTGTTGTGATGATGATCTCAATAATGACCGAAGAAACGAAGGCTCATAATCAGCTCCTGAAGCCAGAGAATTCTGCTGACCAGTACCCAGGAGAGATGTTATACTGTAACTGCTTACAGATGCTTTGTTGCTTGACTGAGAAGGTAAAGGCAGAACACTACTCAGTTGTAATGTTTGGCACGTCACGGTGCAGTTACTGCTGCTACCATTGTTATTTAGAGACAAGGCACTCGTGGTACGAGCTCGACGTTTTGAGCTCGATGAATCATCAAGACTAACTCTTTCCATTTCACGAAGAATCCTCTTTCGAGGTGAAATTATACTAGGGTCCATGCGGCCACTTGTTATGTTCACTGTCCTCACTTGACTCGGCACAGACCCACTGCTGCTACTACTATTACTACTACTACCTGCCAAACTTTCGCCACTTGGACCCGACACTTTTTCTAACAAAGTTTGTACTATAACTGACAACTTTGCTCGAGAATGTCCACCTTTTTTCACTTTTGTTAACTTTGTTGTATTCACACTAATACTATTCATAACTGAAATATCTATTGGCTCATAAGGACACCTTCTTTTCCTACGAATATCATGAGAGTAAAAATGGAGGTTCCGATATTCTTTCACACTTTGATGAGCTTGCATAAAAAACGTCATCTCTTTGCTAATTCCTTGTTGTGGAGCACTCTGTTTCCAACAATGATCTCGTTGCCACGGTGAAGACTGGACTGACGAATTATCATCTGAGACTGCAAGAAAATTCACAAATGCTATATTGCACGACAAATTAAGAATAAAAATAAAATGTAACAATAATATGTAAATAATTAGCCATACCACTAAGAGATGTGGAACTTTCTTGACGAGGAGTTCCTGCAGCAGACAATGGCCAGTAGGTCTTTTTTGGCACTGGAACCCAGGACATGCGATCTCCTTCTTTCCGATGCGACAGCTCAAGGATAAATTTTCCATCTTAAAATAAAAAGTTTCACTAAATAGTATCTTAAAAATTGATAACTAATAATACAATTGGAATACATTATACAGAGAAAAGGCAAAAATTAAATGAGTTGTGATCACGAAAACGTTCATGTCATTACTACATTATATCTCCACAAAACCAAACCACAATTATACATTGTTACAATGCATGAACTACTTTTTTGCATGGAGAAAACCAGGACAAACCAATTCAAGCAAGTGCAGTGCCAAATCCCATGGATATATAAAACACAGGTCATTAATTTATACTGCTTTGATTATGTATTATATAAATATATTTATACTAAAAAAATAGTCTTAAGCAATTTTAATATAGTGTCTGCGTCTATTTGCCTTGTATTATATTTAAAATCAAGCAATATTAACATAAAATGTACATCTATACCATTGACTCTGATATGAATAATACAAAGTGTTCTCTAACTTCATGATGTGAATACAGAGAATTCAAGAAATCATGTGACATATGAACCATAGATTTATAAACATTTGTTCTCAACGAATGCCTACACAGAAATCATTGATCACTTTCTAATTAACATCAATTTCTACCAGAATTCTCTCAATTTCAGTAAGAATACAAAGCAAGACAGAATGAAGGGTAAAAATTGTAAATCGGGTACCTTTGAAAAATTTAAGTCTTCCGCCTGATATGGTAGTATTTCGATCTAATTCCGGTGGTGTTGCACCGGGACTCGGAGTCCCGTCATTTTCTCTAGGTCCAAAACTCCTTTTGCTGCCACTGGTTACCACCTCAGGACCTCCATTCAAACCTCTTTCTTCCGTCATTTTGGCACATGTTGTATACAATTTTTCTTGCACACGCATCTCTTCTATCCCATTTTTTCCCACGTCGACCGCTCGGACCCTAAGTAAAACAACAATAGCTGCCCCAGCATTGGGCTGTTAGGGAGTCCTGCTCCATCGCCTGGTATGTGGAAATATTTCGTTTACTCGTCCATGTTTATTTGTCCGCCTAAGAATGAGTGACAAAATCACAATGTTTAAGATCATAAAACTCTTTTCAGGTGAAAATATGACACACAAAGGAAAACTAAAACTTAAACAGTTCTGCATAGTTGACAAATTTTTATTTATATTGAATGGGTTGTTCACAATTCCACAGACCGAAACCGAAAATACTTTACCTTGTAGACAACATTGGTCCATTCCACATTTCTTCCGTTCCCGTCCGTTCCTTAGTTCATTCACACCCAGCTGCCATCGTTGGTCCATTTCTCGGCGTTCCTTCGGTCCATCACGAAGCAAAATGGAGGCCAGTCCATCGCATGTAAACAAACTGTGATTGCCGACGGGGGGCTCCGCGATAATATGGCATGGAAAATTACCTTAGTGTCTAATATAGTGGCGCAATTTAAGTTTGGGTGTGTTCGTGTACGAAGTTATTCATTATTTTGTGGGATGATTAGTTGGAATCATCGTGAATTATTATTTATGTAGCCCACATTGAATTGTACTCGAAATAAAATTACATGTGTCAGTGTTTTAGAATGTTAACGGTGTTACAATTATCAACTTTTGTTTCGAGTGTAAGTGAAATGAGTGATAAACTAATGACTTATCCTGAGTGGTGTATTTCGAAAATATTGTTGGCTCAATTAATTTGGATCAAGGACATGCAAAAATGTAAGGCAAGCAATATAATTATGTGAAAAATTCCTCACTGTATATTTTCCTTACTACAATATAATATTTCAATTCAAAATTGTTTTCATATATGCAATTATCATTATTACAAATACTCTGAAGACATCTAGTAATTATTAGTTCTTAATTATATTAACCATATCTTTATGGATATTAAAAGTAAGCGAAATGATTGAAATCACACAATATTTCAGGAAGTTTCTTTATTATTTGTTATCATTTGCATGTACAAGTTTTATCTTCTTCTGGTCTGATGAAAAATATTCCCCTTCAGTGTTTTCTGAAAATAACAATGACAAATTAATACATAAGTCCTTGATTAATACTGAACAGTGAGAGGTGAGCAGACACATATTTCATGGACTGGTGCACCGCTCATTAATTTGTAGTAATCTACAATAGACTAGTTCATATTGAAAAGCTATTCCATTTACTTCTCACCTATAGCAAACCAAACTCATGCCTTTTGTACCACGTAATAACTTGGGAGTACGTGTTTCTATGGCAATTAGTTTGGCTATTTTTTCTGAATATTTCCAGTACTTAATATTTTTGTAATGCAAATATTTTGGCCACATTTCAAAGTTTTCTAACTTTTTGTAATTATCAAATTAAAGCCCGTCTCAATTTGATGCACTTTTAAAAAAAAAAATGTACCAGTTAATGCTATCATTTTTATGACTTCATATACATAACTAAATTTTTAAAGTTAAGTTTTAAAAAATCTTAGAGACAGTCAGTTAATAACAATACCATTTCCCAAATTGTCAGTATTAGGAACTTGTGCAATCAAATCTGACAAAATCGAATTGGAGTTTTCTTGAAATTCTTTAAGTGCCTTTAACAAGTCTGGAAGACCATTCACATCACTTCGACATTCTTCGTAAACTGTTTCTGCTCCTTTGGAAATTGTTATTTTCGGAGCGTAGTTGCACGTCTCAGACATGGTAAACTATGATATTTCACGACCTGTAGCAAGTAAAAATATTAGTTAAGTCTTTGCTCGTACTTTTTAACTTATATAATTTTTGTCCCATCCAACCTATCTTGGTTTCTTCCCGCTCTTAGTTCCTCAAAATATTGCTCTTGTAACCACACACGTGAATGTTGGTATATATCACTTGAAAAAAACCAACACACAACTCGAATCAGTTCCGTTCTATTGTAGACGACTCGCATCGTTCTTTTATCGTAAAAGAGAATCGATTCTTGTATCTGATTCACTTCATGCTTCAAAATGCACGGACGTCCTGAATCACTATGTAAGAGAATATTCTAACAACTTCAGCTGAATGCTGTGTTCCAGCACCATACGATTAATCGTAACTTCGTGCCTTAGATCAAGAGCTTTTTACTATGCTGAACGTTGGCCCTATTGACAAATGCGATATCTCTTACGTCCCAATAGGGGAGTAAGCTAGTAGCGCTCACAGCAAAATTTTGAGATTGAAATTACATGAAATTGAAAACTTAATTCATGTATAATTCGACTTTTATCATTTGTTTTTTTTTGACGAGTTTACTTTTTTACGAAAGCTAAAAAAAAATTAAAAAACTTAAAAGTAATATTTTGTAGAATTTCTTCTGAGGTGGACATGGTAATTTGTCACTGGACTTTCCAAAAGGTATTTTTGTATGTTTCATGGTTTTACAAACATCAAAATGTGGAAATTATATAAATATTTGGGCTTTTTACTACTGAAAAGGTTTTTTTTTGTTTGTTTTGTTTTCTTCAAATTAACAAGAAGTCAGGATTTATATGTGATCAATTACATGCAACAGACAAGAAACTAATTACTTCATTAAAGTTGAGTATAACATTTATCTAATATCAGTTATCTTTTAAAAACATCGTAAATACCATACCACACTGTAAATAATCATGCTTAGTTGCATTAGTGGATGATTTTGCCTATTTACGTGTCAATAGGAACACAAGGAAGGGTTCTTCCATGGTCTCATAAACATAGTTGCACAAAAGTTCAGTTATGTACCTCATTCAAAATACTGATAGGCTGTGCTTGATTTATAAAATTTTAGGTCCCGGAACGCACCTCAAATTACTTGTTAATTTAATAGAAATAACTATGTATTTATAGTAACATTTATTATTCCCGAGATAACGGAACGCCGTTCCGTCGCGTTCAACCATGTTTATAGGTCTCCCAAAAACTAAACCAGAAAGAAGATATTAAGTATTACTAAGTAGTTAATATGTACTATTATCTTCATAAACTCAAAATTTCTGACGCTTTTATTTACTACATGTACACATCAATAAAACTTTAAATAGTTATACCTATAAATTATTTATAATTAAGGTTTTCAAATTTTCTTTGGAATTTGATCATTGTTGAACTTCAAAATATAGTAATGACTTACAATTGACTTAAGTGGTAGTTGGTTGGGAAAAAAATACAATTTTGTCTGTGTCATTCGTAAAAGTGCTTTGTGGGTGCTGATTTTGGATATCTACATCGCCACATCGAAAATGTGTGTTCTGAGAAAACTGCAGTAATGCTCTTTTTGCAGTTATTTGTTTATAACATAAAAACAACGCACATTTATAGAAAGATATTTCACAAATATATAGAATTAAATTTCCTGCATAATGTCTCATCAGTATTATTTTTCGTCTGACAAAGGATTTATGTTAAATTGTAGCAAATCATTCTAAATCTGAAAAAATCGCGTCTAATTAAAAAAACAACAAAAAAAAAACACGCACTTTTAAAAGAAAGCGTTCAGTCAGACGTACGATTTCTAGCGCCTAAATCGTTGGGCCGATTGAATCAGGAGGAACGCTTTTCTGTCAAAGTGCGTAGTATATTTCATGTTGAATGCAATAATTAAAAAAAGTTTTTGATGTAGACAAATTTTTGCCACAATTTTACGTGTTACAGCACATAAACCGTTCGTCTGGCGAAAAATACTAGCAAATTTATGGTAATATATTGTGTTGAAATTTACTTAGAATTATGTAATACCCAGCGTGTAATATATTTCTTTTCTCCACCTTTTAGTCTGTCATAATTAATTATCATTTTAATTATGATGGGGACAACAATCCCTCAAACCGTTGCACGAATACAAACCGTTACAAGAATTTATCTGTCAAAAAATATGGACGCTAACCCTTCAGAAAATTATGTAATACATTTTATTTAGGAATATCTATATGAAAAAGTTAGTAGTGTTCACGTTACAAGTGGAAAACTATAAGAGCGAAAACAATAAGAGCACAACCACCGCATCTTACAAAACGAAAGAAAGATCCGGTTGTTGGAACTTGTTACTACTGGAATTAACAGCAGCAACTGCCTTTCGATGAAGTTATATAATTGAAAAAACATTAGAAATCCGTTAAATTTTAAACAATAAAATAATGGTTATTGAAAACCTTAATTCATGCTACCCAGTGTTGCAAGACGTACCAACATCCTGGTATTTTATCAGAATTTTAATAAAGATACCGTTTACCAGGAAGAAAACCTCCTAGTACGTTTAAATACCAGGGTTTTAAGTCTACGGTAATTGATGTACGATTAAAGATTCTTTAATATTTTTTTTATTCAGTAATTTAAATTAACACCAATATTACAAAAAAAACTATAGTGGTGAAAACACTGCCGTAAAATCATTAAGGGTGACGTAGGATTGTCTTTTTCTAGCACATACTGTAGTAGAAAAGGATAGGCCATCTTAGTCTTCCATTTATTTCAGCGTTTGACAACTGGCGGAGGAATGACGTTCGTCTCCGCAAGTGCCAGCTCGGAGAAGCGGTGCGAGCAAAGAGGGGAGTGGCAGATGGCTGTCGCCGATAACAAAAAACAGTCGTCCTTTGCCCATGTTTCAAGGAATATGAGTGGGAGACCACCTACACCCGTTAATTTTCTTTCGACTTGGGAAGAAATGTTTCCTTTGGTAGATACCGAAACGATGGCGAAGTGTGTTCTGAGAAAACTGCAGTAATGCTCTTTTTGCAGTTATTTGTTTATAACATAAAAACAACGCACATTTATAGAAAGATATTTCACAAGTATTCGAAAGAACTACAGTATGTAAACAAGTTCAACCGACAGAGGCATTACGCAGCTTTGCAACTCGGAGATATACGCGAGATGAAAATAATTTCTAAGAATTTACAGATAACCTGCAATCATGAAATGAGAAAATGATTTTGCAATTAGATTATGGAAAAGGAATTGAAAATCACGAGGATTTACAACAGTCTCACAAAACTGTACTGTATAAATAATCAATCCTGGAGTACAAATTCTCCCACATGACTCCTCCCGGATACCTATTTGTTAACATTAACTACACAGGCACACAAAATAAAAGAGTTTTCACGCCCAAAGACTTTATACATGCTTCTCTATGTATGTCGACGCGCTGAATCCGATTCTGAAACCAGAATTGCGCCACCCCTCCAGTTTTTTAAATCGCAAAAACCACCGTGAAATTGTAAATTTCATTGTGTTTTTTCGCAATTAAAAAAAACTGGAAGGTGGTGGTGCAATTCTGGTTTCAGAATCGGATTCAGCGCTTTGACATTCATAAACAAAACATGTTTCAAGTCTTGTGTCTGACAACAAACCCCGAAAAGAAAAAATACAATGTCTCTGTGTTTTTTCGCGATAAAAAAACTGGAGGGTGGGGGCGCAATTCAAGCTTCAGATTTGGATTCAGCGCGTTGAGATGCATAAAGAAACGTCAAGTGTTTGGGTCTTTTTTATTTTACTTATTTACAACTTTTTTATTTTGTGCTCCTGTGTCCATTGGTTCTGGACGAACTAAAATTGTTATGTTATATAACATTGTATAAAGTATTGTATTAGAATGTTAAAGCTGTCTTTTCCAAAAAATGGTATGTGTTAGAAGAATGGAAGTGGAATTACAGTACTGTTTACGATAAATAGAGTTGGATATTGTATTATGATATAATACATGTTCCATTTTTAATTTTTCATATTTTTTTGAACAATAAACATTTAGATAGTAATTGCAATTTAAAAACGTAATTATCGAGCGAACCTCTCCCCCCCCCCACTTCCGTACCATCATTAGAACACTGTACGCCCACCGCCGCGTCCAGCACTACGTTTGTTCCGCGGCTCGGTTCCGAGCAGGAGAGCAGATTTTTGTGGCGTCACAGAGCATTGAGTGGGCAAACCCTGATTTAGTTTGTCGGTATAAAATTAATTAATATCGAGATAAGTTCAAGGAACTTCTGGTGCGCCTTAAAACCAATAGTTATAATATGGACAATTTCAGAATTTAAATCAATTGACATTGGTACCAGGGATTTAAGTGAAAGAATCAGGAATTTTTAAGGTTGGTACTGGAATATATATTTAATCAACTGGAAACGCAAATGATACCGCCACGTAACACAAACTACATAGAATTCACGTAATACACCAAACTTACAGCAATTTTCCTGGCCGCTTGGGTGCGCTAGTAGCGCGCCAGTCCTGAAAATTCACATGAAGCTGCGGACTGTGTTGATAGTCTGATACCATAGTGTTGATACGCTGTAGTTCGCGTGATGACCTTTAAAAAGTCGCAATTAATGAAAGTGAGAATGAAAATATTCGAAATAACAAATTGCTGTTACTCTAGACCCGATTAATTATTATGTAAAAAATAGTAACGAACATGATATATAGGGAAGTGATATTTTAATTATTTGAAATGTAAAGTCATACGAGAAAAATAGCAGCTGCAGAGTTGTCGACTGTAGGACACTTGTAAAAAGTAAACTTGTTAAAAAATCAATTGCTCGACAAATGTAAATTAAAAAATACTTTTTTCGTGAAACATCAGTATTCACAAACTCTTTCATTAAGCGACACTTAGAAGAGAAATGTCTCATATGTGTTCAATTAATTATATTGTCATTAGATAAAAAATAAAACAGGCCACGTGAACATATAATATGTTAATAACCTTCTAAAATTGCTACTCTTCTAAATATTTTATTACAGTAAAAAAAATTATGAAAGTAAGGTAAGTGTACGGAAACGTAAGAAGCAACGAACTAACAAGACGTTTTCAATTTCCTATTTAACCTCACTGACCTATTACACAAACCTAACATTTGTATTTACAGTTAATACTTTAGTGAGTCCATGGCCGCAATAGAGAGTAATTTAAATATACTTCTAAAAGATTTTTAAAAAAAGTTTTGTTAACGGAATGCTAATAAAATTTTTACTAACGTTTCCAATGTATTGTGATTATATTATCTACAACTTTTATTACCAGAAAGTGAACAACATGAAAATATTAGATAGTTTTATTAATATACCTACATATTTTATATTTTTACATTTTAAAAAAACAGTAGTAAACAGTGATAT